GTGTCAGCAATGTGTGAGGCTCTTCGCATTCATTCCCATGCGATACCAACATTATGGTAAAAGTTTATGCCGCTGTGTGCAGTTGAGGAATGAAACTATTGAGACACGGAGTGGCTGCCTGCCTTGACATCTTTTTCTGTTCCACCCCACATTCACTGCTCTCCATGACTACTCCCTGATTTTCTATCTTCTACAGTTTGTACACAGAAATGGAAATACTTAATATTAGAGTTGACAGTTGTAAAGGAAACGAACTGCAAATTATTCAGAAAAATACAAGCAGCGGGTGGCCAGGTAGCCTCAAAGACCAGAGTTGCTAGAATCTCAGTTGTTGTTGTTTTAAGAGATAACCAAAACACTCAGAATTAGCAGTGCATAAGTGCATAGGACTGTGTGGGTAGAGGTTTGAGCAGAATGGTGAAAGGGGCATGGTACCAACACATACTCATGCAATGGGAGGGCTGCTCAGAACAGAATTCACATGGAGCTGTGTCTCTGTAATGAACAACCCCTTCCATCATCTCCAAACATTAGTCAGTATGCTGCGCCTGTATAGAACTCTACGGAAACATATTAGGGTGAAATCTAGGAATAGGGTTATGGTCATGTCTGAGTGGTTGTTTGTGAAGTGAGGACATGCTTAGCAGTTGATCCATAAACTGCACAAATTCAATGTCAAGTGGAGTCCAGTGCCATAAGGGAGAACATTGGCTCCAAAGAAACATGAAGAACTGTTGGGTTGGGTGTAGGGTTTACGGATGAGGTGGATCTTGACCTAGAGGCCAAAGTTCAAGGAGAACTCAGCTGACAATATATATTGTTCCAATGCCTTTGACTTTTCTAATTCCAGTAGCAGCAGGCAGGATCTCTGTTGCAAATCTTTTTCTAGTGCTAAGAATGCTTCGTGTGACTACTGGAACCCCAATACATATTTGTCTCATTAATGCAGGGCCTGGTGGTGTATGCTCACAACCCAGACGCTGGGGACTGATTGAGGCAGAAGTGCCAGGCTAGTTTGGAGGTCAAGCTAGGAGGACCATGAATTTGAAGTTAACATGAACCACACAGTACAGTGCTATCTAGAGAAAAAAAAACCAAAACAAAACAGAACAACAACAACAACAACAACAACAAAAACCTGTCAAGTGGACATACATTTACTGTATTAGCAGAAATAAACCCTGGTACTTGAGATAAAGTTTCTCTTTATAGTCCCATGTCCAATGCATGACAAGATAAAAGTTATAAAATTTTACTGATAGCTCATTAAAAGCTGGAATATAAAAACCGCCGCACATTACAGAGCATTTTCAGTTGGTCAGGACTTTTCCGTCTAAATCCTGATAACAACACTACTTTGCAGATTTTCTTTCCCTGATGTATACAGGATGATGCTTGCTTTCAGAAAGACTGAGTACCACTACCAGGATCCTGTGGCCAATGTGTGGCACCAGAGCCCATCTGTTTTGCACTATATCTGACTGAGTTATTGAGGTTGTTTAAAAAGGATACTAGAAAAAGAAAAAAAGAACATAAATACCTCTATATCTGTAGGATGCTAGAAATTAAGCCCGTTTGTACATTCTTTAACAATTGATTCGAGCATTACTTAGTCAAAATAGGTTTATTACAACTAGCTTTGGGGTGTGAAATAGGAGGGACAGGTTACATAAGCCACACACATGGCACCAATTGATTTTTGGCTGCATTTTCACATGTAATAGAAAGGGAAATCAGTTATTAATAATTCAACAAAATGCATCCAATTTTATATCTAAGTATTTTGGCTAAAATACATTTCAGAACTGGATATTCTATATACTGGTCTCAACTTGATCGCTGTCTTATTTTCAAGTACTAATGCCCCCCCCCCCCCAATATTTTACTTTGGTTTTGTTCTTTTCTTATTTTAAATAAAAAGAGTCTTCAATTTCCTCGTATTTCCTTAAAAACACAGTGAAACACACCTGTGTCGGGCGCTTTGACTCTGTAGTGTCTTCTGGAGACTCCGGTTGAAGGCTTAGCTGTAGGCTCAGGGGCTTTGGGGAAGTGATTTTATTGGGCAGATTCTTACCTTATTGGCAGTTCAATCTGCTGACAAATTCATAATTTGATAGCATGATTGGGAGGTTGTGGGAACTAGAAGATGGGGCCTAGTCAGAGAAAGGAGGTTCCTGGAGGTGTGTTACTGGGGGTTTTCCTTTGTCACGTGAAAGGTGTGCTGTTTCCTTTTCTCTCTGCCTCCAGTCTGCCTTGAGGTGGGCAGCTTTCCTGAGCTAGAGCCTTCCGCAGCAATATCTCTGTCTTTCTACAGCCTTAGTAAGACTTATGTAGCCAGTTGACAGTTGACTGTGTATTCTGGGACACAGTGATCAAAATATCTGTAGAATATCTCCTTAAGGGAGGAAAGCTTTCAGTGAAAGAGGGATTTCAGCCTGCCAAAGGACACAGGGGTGTGGTGGGGAGCAGTGGATTTGAGGCTGGAACCATTCACAGGCTGAGAACGCAGGCCAGAACCAGGACAGGTACAAACCCTTAGTGGTCCACTTCTAGGCAGGCACCACCTCCAAAAGCCTCCATAGACTTAGAGCTTTTAAAATAAAAGCCTGGATCTCTGTGGGTTCAAAGCCAGCCTGGTCTACAAGAGTTAGTTCCAGGACAGTTAGGACTGTTACACAGAGAAATCCTGTCTCGAAAAAAGCAAAAATAAATAAATAAAATTTGGCCATTTAATGCAATCATCACAAAGAAGGGAGGGGGCCTCGGAATGCATGCTTTGTACTAGTGAGTTTGAAGATGATCATGCCAGAGACGCGTGGAAGTTGACACTAGCAAGCTTCATTTTCCTTTAATGACATCAAGAGATGGGGCATCTGCAGTCAGGGTGGTACACGGCACACACCTTTAATCCCTGTGCTAGGGAGGCAGAGACAGGCGGATCTCTGACTTCAAGGTCAGCCTGGTCTACAGAGAATTCCAGGTTCCAGGACAGCCAGGGTGCTCTGTTACACAGAGAAATTCAGTCTCAAAAAAACAAAATGGGGGGGAAGGGGGGTGTTTTGTTTGTTATAGGGGTGACGTGACTTCACTTGGTCTCCTGCTCTATTTCCCCTGGTGGTCTCCAAAGCTTTAATTTCAGCAAGAGTTTGTTGTTTTAGTTTTGTTACTTTATAAACTGAGGACAAGGTATGGTTGAGGGGAAGGGTTTTCTTGTAGATATGATGGAGAGTACAGTCAGAGGCATCTGGAAAAGTCTAGAACAGGGAGGAGGCAGCAGACTGAACACAGTCAGCAGACTCACCTGGCCATGGGAAGAGAGATGTGGAGAGCAAGAGAGGAAGACAAGGAAATGCTTGCGAGGGAGACCAAGAGAGAGGGGTGCACGAGAGCACAAGGCTGAAACAGCAGGGTTATATGGGATGGGAAGGGGGGCAGGAGCTGGAGAAGTTTAGGGGGAGAAGAGCTGAGAAGAGCCTCAGGAGCTGTGGCAGAGGGAGCCCTCCTGGAGGCCAACCTGCGTTTTGGTAACCTGATAGGAACCGTGAATCTATCCTGATTATTTTTTTTTTTTTGGACCTGACAGTTATAATTTGTTTATAAGTCAAATCTGGTCTTTATCTTTGGAGGTGAAATGCCCGTGCAATGACATCTTAATTAAAGTGATCCACCTGCAATTTTATTTCTTTGGATACTCTGTCTCCTGTTTTCACAGCAGTTTTTTTTTTCCTGTTTGTTTATACAGAAAGGTCTGAAGTAGTAGCTCAGGAAGGTCTTAAAATCACTAAGTAATCAAGACTGACCTTGACTTTTCCAATTCTGTGCCCAGCCCTATCTCTTATTTTCTTGGCCATATACTAAAGTCTGTCTTTTCACCTACTGCATATAATCGAATCTTACTTTTTAAAAGAAGTAATGACGATTTTGGCTACTTTCCCATACACTGGTACACTCTGCCTAGGATGAGTAAGCCTGGATTTACACTTACTTCATGCTGAGTCTCCACATCCTAAATAGACTTTGGCAAGTGTATTTGACGAGTAGTGAAGTGTCTGGCAATTAGACACAAGACGACTGCAATCCACAGAGGAGATACTTAAATGAATGGCTCTGTTAAAGAAGCTAAGCAAACAGGATCACTTCAGAACACATACATTCCTAAGCAAGACGTTATCGGAAGCAGCAGTGCTTGAAAAGCCCTGGGAAAGGTGAATCACTGGACACTTATTAAGTAATATTTGAAGTGGTAGGATTTGAGTATGGATAATGTTTTCTTTCTTAAACGGCTGAAAAAAACTGCTAAAAATATAAACAACAGTTCACAAAGCGCCATGAAAGTCAGGAGACCCCACTGTCTTGATGCTTTAAAGAATTGCTTCTGCGACCATCAACCGCGAGAAGAGGTCACATATACAATTCAATACAGGTGGTGCCAGAGGAAAAATGACCAAGGCTTGTGTATAAAACCTTCCAGATATCGCAAGTTATCAACAACAAAAGCGTACTCTTTAAGTAATTAAAGAACTGGGGGAAACTTTGCAGATGGGCTGTCATAGGCGGGGTGAATGAAGCTGGTGTTTCAAGGTCCCAGAACCCAGGGTCAGCACACAGTGCTTCTCTGAGGTGCAGGTCTTTCCGAACTCTGTGCCTGTCATTCGAAACAGGATAAGATTCTAATCACCCCGACCCCTGAAGAGAAGCTTGCACGGACAAACTTCCAGTGCAGACACCGACTCCTTAAAAAATCCTAGACCCATAAGCTCACTCCGGCAGGCTGCAGAGTGTGTCTGCACCGGGTATACCCGGTTCCTCAGCCCGACCCGCACAGCCACTCCAGCTCTGAGACCGCCGCTCCCTCCGCCTTGGCGGGAGCACGACGCCCCGCCCCCGGAGTGTGGCGGAAGTAGCGGGAGCGGCGCGCGCCACCTCGCCGGCTGCGCAGGCGCTCTCCTCGCATGGGTTGGCGCGTCCGTCTAGTTACCTCAGTCTCCGCCACCCCCGCCCCTCATAGTGGCGCTCTCGCCATCTTGCACCCCCTCCAGCCTAGCCCAGTCACCTTTTCCCTTTCCACAGTTTCTGTCCCCCCATTCCCCGCCCCCTGCCCATCGTGTCCCGGGGCCGCCGCCGCCGCCGCAGACACCGCGCCATCTCTGTCCCCTCTCATTCTCCACGCGGGACGCGCAGACGTGCTTCCACGTGTCCTTAAGCAGAGGTTGTGGGGCGCGTGGGGGCGGCGGGGAGTGGGGCGAGGTCATGGGAACGCCAGGGACGTGGCAGCCAGAGGTCAGGCCCAGGGCTGCGGGCCCAGCCGGGTGCAGGCCGCCGAGTGTGGGGTGCGCCATGGCTCCTCCCCGTCGTCGGTGGGCGTGGGGCGAGGGGAGCCCTGGGCTGGGCGGAGAGGCACCTTTCGCCTGCCACCCAGGTTGTGTTGGGGTGGGGAGACCTTCAAAAAGGAAAGCTCTGCTTCGTGGAAGTTAGGTAGCATTAGTGGAAGTTCAGCCTGCCAGGAGAGACCCAGAGGACACAGAGATGCTGCTGTCACCGCCCGCCTCTGGGACCCCTGGGGGAAATCATTTAGGTCGTGTTGTGGGGTGTAGATGGGGATCACAATAGCCTAGCTCCAGATTTATGAGAGAGTATTTGTGTACTTAAAGCTTACAAAAAGCCAGCAGAATTCTCTGCTGTGATTTCTTATGAGTTCCATGTTAAGAAATTGTCACCTTGCCTTCCCTTAGGAAAGTCAGGACAGTTGTTGTGACAAATGAGAATGGAGTTATAGGGATAGTAAATATATTTGACGTTCAGACAGGATCCCGGAAGCAGTATCGTTATTGTATACCCGGATAAATTAGCATCATGTCCCTGGAGTTTAGTGGGAACTCAGAAAGAAATGAGGACATGTTTATCTGGGAGACACCTGGGTCTCCCAGATCACCGGTAAAAGATTGCTTGAAACAACTGGTAGAATTTCTGTGTGTTCCAGAGAGACAGAATTTAACGACTAAAGGGTTTCTTGATAATACTTGATAAAAGCAGAACGTAATGGGTTATGCTGTTGTGAGTCGTGGCCCCTCAAATCCCCTCACCCACCCTGGGGACCTTTAAATACAGTAGGTCTACCCTGAGGGCTGCCCTGCCTAGGGGAACTTTATGCCACGCTGAAAATGCTATACACGGTGGGCTTCCAGTATGGTAGCCATCAGGTGCAGGTGGCTCTTGAGCAATGGAAACGTGGCAGGTGCCACTGATGAGTAGCAAATTAATTACAATTTAAGTGGCCACCCACGCGCACGGTGGTTGTTGCATGGGATCACACAGGCCTGCAAAGTTGAGAGCTGTTGCGGTCTTTGATTTGGTGGAGTTTTAAGTCAGCTCAGCTTTTGGAATATTTATGCTGTAAGGATTCATAATTATGTCCAAATATTGCCTTTCATTCAAAGCGTGGGCCTGCTAGTATTTATTTACAGCTTGGCAAATTAAAGCAAAACACTCCTTTGACTCCCTGGTTCGAAAGCTAGCGCCAGATTTAGCTGGAAAGAGAACACTAGCTGGAGTTCTCTTTAATCAGCGCTGGCTTCCACTGTCTTTTATCACCGAGTTAGTTCTTTGTGAAAGCTTGCAACTCTTTATTGCTGCCGTTTGTTTTTTTCCTACCATCTTTGAAAGCTGGTGCTTCCCCTTTTAACCTTTTGTATAATAAGACAGTTTAATAAATTATGGTGGCAATATTTGGGCAATTTTAGAAGTCATTTTAGTATCCATATTCAAACTTCTGAAGAGAAAAGTGAAATTTGGTGATCAATGTGTCGTGAGATTACTTTCTCTGAAATATGCCTAACTATTTTTTGACTGAGTATTTGTAAATCTTGAACATAAAAGCCTTCTCCTTTTTCTCCCCTCTCCCTTCCTTCTTCCTTTTTTTGTACTGGGGATTGAACCCTGGCCCTCCCACTTACTAAGTGGTGGTTCTGCCACTAGGCTATACACACCCAGTCCTTGAAAAGAAACCCTGAGAAAAAACGAAACTGTCACGGCGTCGGGGTAGTACACTCTGAACTCCAGCCTGGTATTTGTGAAACGTTGCCCTTGGCCTTTGGTTCTGGAATGACAGTTTAAAGCTCCTGTGTTACATCATAAGCAGAGATTAGTTCATGACTTGCAAGTCAGACTGAGCTGGTCTCGAGTGGACAGACTATCTTAAGTTTTCTGGGACAGTCACGTCCCAGCATGCTTCCTACCAGGACCCCTTTCGTACTGTCAGAAACATTCCAGTTTGGACTTGCTAACGTGGCCACGCTTTTTAAGCGTGTCAGAACTCTTAGTCTTGGAAGGATTAGCAATTTTGCAGTCTCCAAAATACACTTGCTGAAAACAGTGACAAAGTCCATGCTGTTTCCCTCATAGGATATTTGGAATAAGGCCAGAGAGTGACTTGGTCCCTTTAGGTACTGGCAATTTAAATGTTTTACTTTGTATAGAAATCTTGGGTAATATGCTTGTTGGCCCCATTTGGTGTAAAGGGCTACAAATATGCCGGTACAGTAAAAACAGTGAGATCGAATCGTCCTGTTTTCCTTTTGAGAACGGGTGTTTTGGTGAGGTCAGATAGTAAATCAATCGGAAACCTGCTTTTCATGTATTAGAATGTCAGTGATTTTGCTTATATTTCACTTACATTATGAGAAGGGATTCGGCCATTGCATTACTGTGTTAACTGAATTCATGTTAAGTGAAGGGGATGAGCTGTTCTGTTTGTTATTTTAAATGTTGATGGTAATGCCACTGAGCCTTGTGTGTCTTCTGTAGTCCCACTTTTAGCCTTGAACAGACTGTCACACTCACGAGCTGCCCTCTTTGAGCTTGCTTAATGTTAAAACCCTGACGTGTTTGTAAAGTGCTGTGCTCTTTTTTTTTTTTTTTTTTGGTTTTTCGAGACAGGGTTTCTCTATGGCTTTGGAGCCTGTCCTGGAACTAGCTCTGTAGACCAGGCTGGTCTCGAACTCACAGAGATCCGCCTGCCTCTGCCTCCGGAGTGCTGGGATTAAAGGCGTGCGCCACCACCGCCCAGCTCCTGTGACACTTTCTGTGCACCCTTGCTTAGCCATTATCTCAGGAACCCTGGGAGGGAAGTGTGTAAGTTTCCTCTCTAGAGGAACTGAGGGAGAGAGGTGGAATGAGTTGCCCAAGGTCACATGATAAGCCTCAGAGCCTGTGTTTGAACTCCAGAGCTCAGCGCTTTCCTGCTACACCGAGTGAGCATAGGCAGATAGTTCACAACCAAGTTCACTGTGACCAATTCCTTGTGAAGGTCTTGTGAGTTAATTATGATCCACTTTTATTTGTGTGTTCCTCATTGTATAGAAGAAAGGATTCTGGGCCAGGAGTCAGGGGGACCTCAGTTTTAGTCCAAGCTTGTGTCACTAAAAAGTGGTGTGTGGCCGGGCGGTGGTGGCGCACGCCTTTAATCCCAGCACTCGGGAGGCAGAGGCAGGTGGATCTCTGTGAGTTCGAGACCAGCCTGGTCTACAAGAGCTAGTTCCAGGACAGGCTCCAAAACCACAGAGAAACCCTGTCTCGAAAAACAAAAAACAAAAAAACAAACAAACAAACAAACAAACAAAAAAAAAAGTGGTGTGTGTCCTTGGGCAGTACAAGAAACCCCTCTGGGCTGCAGTTTCCTCACCTGAAAAATGAGGGATTTGGATGAAATTAGTGATTTTCAAACTGTGGTTTGAAGTCTGCTCACTTCTTGGCCCCTCCCACCGGTTTACATGGTTTAGTTGGCCTGTTGGTTAGTCATGGCCTACAGTCTCCTTTAAACAAAGACTATCTGGACGTATCATTTAATTTACTAGACTCTCAGATAACTAACGGCAGTGTCAGCCCCTGACTGCAATGGTTGTAGCTCTGATAATTTCATATTACTTTAGAGTATCTGGAGATAGGCATCTTTTACAAATGAAAAATCTAGGCATTTTTAAAATTGATAATTTTTTGTTAAGATATATGCCTCCATAGATCAGGTTATCAGCTACTTGAGATCAAAGCCTCCCCTTTTTTTCTTTTTAAAAAGATTTATTTTAATTCTCTATGTACGCACACATCTGTGTGGGTACCAGCAGAGGCCAGAGATGTTGGGTTCTCCCGGGACTAGAGTTACAGCATCTTTGAACCTTTGATGTGGGCTCTGGGAACCAAACTTGGGTCCCCTGAAGAGTTGTATGTTCTTTACTGAGTCAGCTCTTTGGCCTAAAGCCTTACATTTAAAAAGAAAAAAATAATTAGGTCTGAGACATTTAGCCAGTATTTTTAGTTTCCTCATCAGTAGTGGGAAGGTACTGGCCTGGTAGGGTGATTGTGGAAAAAAACACAAAAACAAAACAACAAAAAATCTAAGTTACTGCAGTAAAAGACCAAGTAAAGCCCAAGTCCATTAGTTCTTCATATACATGAATTAAATCGCCATTAGCCACACAGGCTGTATTGTAACCACATCATTAAATTACCATTGGTGAATTGTATATGCTTAATATTAGATGACAATAGATTTCTTATAAGGATGACTATTTATAAAACATGATTGTAGGCTAGAAGAGAATTGTAATGTTTAAAAATATCTACTCATTTAAAAAAATCCTTGTTTTCTGCTATATGACTTACTATTAGGATTGTTAAGTGATGGCTAGATTTCCCACATACTTAAAGAAAAACCCATAAAGTCATTGAATTTTCTGTAAAAACAATATTGTCAAAAAATGAGTTTGCTATGGGATTTGCCAGTGTGGATGCTGTGTGTTTTTGGCTGTGTTGTTAGATGTAGTCTACAGTACATTTTTATATATACTTTTAGTAAAGAATATTTTTTATAACAAAATTTGAAAAAGCCAATAATATGCATTAAAGCACATGGAATAGAATTTTAGGCTAATATGAACCTAGGGGAAAAAATATAGTAAGATTCTCCCATGTTTGTGTGGCAGAGAGCGCTGTTGTCTGTAAGTTAACTTATCATTAGGTAACAAGGAAATGAAAATGTTTTGTTATTTTGTGTGTGTGTGTGCCTGCGCGTGCATGTATTGTATTGTATTGCAGTTTATTGAGCCTCGTGACTTATGCATTTAAGGCAAGAATTCTGTTGCTGAGTGATAGTCCTTTCCATTTTATAAATTTTTTTATTTTCAATTCAAGTATATTTTTGAGTCCTTATTGCAT